AAACTACTTAGTTCAGTTTTGCTTCTATAACAAAACTGTCCTAAACTGCACGGCTCATAAACAACAGAAACCTATTCTTCGCTGACTGTTCCCACGTCTAGAAGTGGATACCAGAGCATTACATGGTTGGTTTAACGCGGACACTTTTCAAGGCTGTAGACCGCTGATTTCACCAAAACGAGGGTGGTAGAGCTCTCCGTGTGTAAGGCTACTAATCGTATGGGGGGGGGGGGCTCTGCCCTTCCTGGTAATAACATTATGTTGGTGTTTAAGATTTCAGCATCGGAATTTGGGGGATACCTTCGGTTCATAACATCCACAGAGATGGAGACTACCACTGTTTATACAACTCCCCTGGCCAATCCAGATACCCTGGAGGTTTGAGAGCCATGAATTCACAGGCAACAGCAGTGTCGCAGGATGAACCTCAGTATGAGGAAGCCAGCGTGAGTTGCAGGGAACATTAACTTTCTCACTCACAGCTGCTCAACAGGGACCTGAGCAGCATCTGTCTTGGAGAAATCCCACCCCACAGGTCCAAAACACAAACGAAATCACCAGGACAAGCTGGACTGGGCTGCTTTACAAAGCAGCCCATGACTTTGTAAGTTTCTCTCTTGCTCAGGCGAAATCTGTGGAGCTTGGGTATCTCTCTCTCTCTAGAGTTGAGAACTCCTTGCAATTCCTGATGGGTCAGGTTGTTTGGATCCAGATGTAAGAAATTGTTGGTGGGAGAGATGATTCTGTGACTAAGAGTACTTGTTGCTCTTACAGATGACCTAGGTTTGAGTTCCAGCATCCACATGGTGGCTCACAACCATCTGCAACTCTAGTTCCAGCGGACTTGACCCCATCCTTTTGAGTACCAGGCACACACATGGTACACATACAAACATGCAGACACAACACTTACTCACTCACACACACTCATGCATGCACATGCGTGCGCGCGCGGGCGCACACACACACACACACACACACACACACACACACATGAGCATGCACCCAAAAAAGAGGGAAATCATTGATAAAGGGGAAAGAGAACATTGGGAACAACACAGGGTCATCCCACTGCCTCAACCCAGAAATGTGATATATCATATTTCATGCCGCTCAGCCCTTCCATGGCTTCAATGTGTATGGGTCTCCTAGGGATCCAGTAATGACAGGAAAGGCCATGAGACTATTTCTCCTGAAGGCATGCATCTGTGCAAGGAGACCAAGATGAAGAAACAGAGATATGGGTAAGGGTGCTTTGTAGGAAAGAAAGTGGATATATAAATTCTTTTCCAGCTTGAGGTTTGACTGAACTCTAATTTTCTGGTTCTGAGAATGTATTAAGTTGCCAAACTTGTCTAACTTTTTCTTCTAAGAGGTTCTGTGATTCTGGGAATAACTCAACTGCTACCAGTGCCATGGCAGCCCCTACAGGCCCCTGGCCCCTGGTCTGCGGCAAGCAGGATCCAAGGCAGAACAGGGTTGAGCTGGGGGCAGGGTTGGGGATGCTGCTATGGGCTGTAGGTGAAGTCTGAGCATACAGGGTCTGCTTACCCAGGCCTGGCCCAGGTAAAGGGCTGAGGCTGTGACAATCTAAAGAGCAGGAGGGAATCAGTTCTTCCTTCCCGTTGGACTGAGAAAGAGCAATGTAACTGTTGCCCTATGGGAAAGAAGAAGAAAGGTAGATTCAACTCCATCCTGCCAGCCCAGTTCTTAGGGTAGTAGGTACCATGGGGCCAGGTGCATTGGGCCCATTTGGGTGAATATGATCTCGCTCCCTAAGAGGCTGCGCCACCATCACCAGCCTATGCTCAGGAGCATCCTCCTCTTCCTTACAGCATCTGGGCTGAAGCCCAGAGTAACAAGTAAGAACAGCAGTGGAGGGGTTGAGCAGTGACCCACAGCTCCCCAGCCTGGCAGCCTTGACCATCTCCATGAGGAGGAGGGGTCACTAGAGCCCGGTTCAGCTTAGCCCCTGGGGCGCCGTGTGCCACTCTTCCCTTGCTCCATTTTAGTTAAGATGTCAGCATTATGGGGACTCCAGTGGAGAAATTCCTAATGGGGTCAGAGCCCTGGGCACTAACATCAAATGCTTCTTCCTTCTCACAGGGACAGACGGGATTAATGGCCATTGTTCCAAGGCCCTGCACATTAAGACATCCAGCCCTTTGCTGAAAGATAGATTGCGTATCTGCCCTGAGGGAGGACGAATCACATTGATAATTCCCTTGATTAAAGCCCATTTATTAAAGAGCCTGATGGTGTTTTTTTCCTTCTGTCTTTTAATAGATAGATTGGGAAGTACTTCAGCAAAGAGAAAGAGACGTAATAATCCATTCCCCTGTGGCTGATGAGTTTCGTCTTCAGAAAAAGTAGTAAGCCATGCTGCTCAAATTGTAGCACAGGAGTCCTGCTCAAATCAGAGGGAAGGGGACAAGGGGAGGAAAGAGATGGGAGAAGCAAAAGCTCATGTGAGAGCCCACAAAGCAGAGGCCAGCCCTGTTCCCCTCGGGTATCCATTCTCAGAGTGAGTGGGATACCCCCAGGTTCACTTGAACCACAGGCTGCAAGACTGGCTGCATGCAGCATTTTCGATGAAGAGTTCTTTCCAAACTACCCTGGGCTCCTTCTCCCTCCAAGCTACTACTTTTACATTCTAGAAGTGTTTCGAAGGCTATCAGAGATGGGGGGAGAGTTAAGGGGACAGTTATATCCCATACTTAGAACCGGGTGCCTGAGTCTGTGGAACCCATGATGGCTCTCATCCTAGATACCCCATAGCAGGCTGATGTCTTTGGCTAACAGAGTCTAGCTTTGAGATGCATATAAACACCAGGCTGGCTGGGCGTGATGTGCTGTGGGACAATGGTCACTTATATTATTTTTAATGAACTACTGATTGGTCAGTAGCCAGGCAGGAAGTAGAGGTGGGACAATAAGAATTCTTGGAAGAGGGAAGTTTAAGTCCGCAGTTGTGACTCAGCCTCAGAGGAAGCAAGATGTGACTGCCTCGCTGAAAAAAGTACCAAGCCACATGGCTAACTCAGACAAGAATTATGGGCTAATGTAAGTTATAAGGATTCGTTAATGTGTCTTCCTACAGCTCAGCTCCCAGGGAGTGAAGCTAGGTGAATAAACTCTGCTCAGGGCGGGAAGAAGGAGCCCTGAGGATGGCAAGGCAGCTGTGTGGCAGACCTGGGCGGCCTCACCACAGACAGAGCTGAGCCAGGACCTCCACAGCCCAGCTTAATCATACAGCAGAATTGCTGAGCTGCACGTCTGGACTAGAAAGCACTGTGTCCTCGTAGGAAGACTGTCTGAGAAAATTACCTGTTCTGCTCAACCCAGGTGGAAGGAAGAAAGGAAGCCAGGGCAACCAGACGAGGGTCTGGGCGTATTCAGACTCTGTCTACCTGCATTAGCCCGGTCTGGTCAGCCCGCACCTGGCTCCTCCCCGTGCCCTATCACCCTCTTGAGCTACCACAGTCGATTACACCTGGAACCAGGGTGATAGAAACATGACCTAAGGTTAGGTCTAGACTAAAAGGTCACAGACTCTTTGCTTTAAAGTATTTACTTTATGTCATGAGTGTTTCGCCCGTGTGTCCATAGCATGTCTGTATGTGTAGCACATGCCCTGTGCCTTCAGTGACCAAAAGAGGGTACCAGATTCCCCAGTCTGGATTTACAGACTTTTGTGGGCACCGTTTGAGGGTGCTAAGAACTGAACTCGGGTCCTCTAGATGGAGCAGTCAGGGCTCTTAACCACCGCACCATCTCTAGCCACAGGTTCTGTAGTTTAAACAATAAAAGCCGTAGTTTTTTTTAGAGACTAGAAGTCCAGATCGGGTTCTATGAGGACTCTCTCCTCAGCTTGCAGACTGCTGGATATTATGGGGCCGCTTCCTCTTTTAATAAGGAAACTAAGCCCACTGTAGGATCCCCTTTGACCTCATCTCAACCATCATGGCTCTCAGCGGGGCTCCCACGTGCACATGTACACGCACTGAGCACGGAGTCTGGACCTTGGAAGGCTTCCTCAGCTGCTACTACCCTCGTGATGACCCCCAGGGGATTCTGGAGGAGCGTCTCGGGATAACTCAGCATCTTCTCTCTGACTTCTGCCTGACTGCCTGCCTGTAATGGCCCATCTTCCCAGGCTAGGCTCTGGGACCAGCAGAGGCAGAAATGATGAGATCCTCAGCTTGAGCTAGGCCCCAGGAACCTGATCCAGTCTCTCTCCTAAACGGATCAAATCTTTATGGATAGCAGATGAAATAGCCACTTACAGCAAGCTAGCGCTCTCTCTCTCTCTGTCTCTCTCTCTCTCTGTCTCTCTCTCTCTCTGTCTCTCTCTCTCTCTGTCTCTCTCTCTCTCTCTCTCTCTCTCTCTCTCTCT